AACCATCATACCCGGCATGGAAGATCCTTCATTATCTAGCCAGAACAGATCACTTTATCCATAGTTCCTCCTATAACTCCTCCCTTCAGCCATTCAGAGCTTGTTTTATTTCCTTAAAAGCATCTTGACGGTTCATATCCGTGCGTTTTCACAGCTGCTTTTCCCTCTAGTTAGCGTGATTGCCTTTGTCTTAGTTTGAATCCCTCCAGAAGCAGACCTTGAAACAAGAATTTAAGTGGAAGTCATTTATTTGGAGGGTGATCCCGGGAAACACCAGCAGGGGAGTGGGAAAGCAAGACAGGGAAGAGAAGGAAGGCAGTAAGTTTCATTACAAGCCCGTTATTGCTGGACCACTGGGGTTCCAATCCCATAGTTGGGGAGGAGGAGACTCTGGGAGACAGCGTAGAATGTGCTTCTGAATTAGCCCACCTGAGAAGCAAGGGAGCTGGAGTACTTATATATAAATCCCATCAGTTGTTTGTGAAACACTGCCCTCTGGGGGGTGTTAATTCCCTGATATTTCTTGAGTGGGCTCCAGCAACCCAGAGAAAGCCCTCAGGCAAAAAGACCCGGGATCTGGTGGCTGGAAGTCAGGCTGGCAAAGCACTGAAGCTTCAAGGAACAAGGAGGTGTAGGCAGTGCACCCACATCTGCTAGGAATGTACCGTAGCCTTTCTTTTCCCCTAGCTAACTCCAACTCACCCTTTGGGACTCAGGTTAAGCCTCATCTCTTCTGAAAAGCCTTTATAGACCTTCTCCCTGACTTATTTGCCTCATATCTGTTTCCTGGTAGAACCTCTGCTTAACTGCATCCAAGAATCTGTTACAGTCATGCACCACATAATAACATTTCAGTCAATGACAGACTGCATATACAATGGTGGTCCCATAAGATTAGCGCTATATAGCCTAGATGTATAGTAGGCTATACCATATAGGTTTGTGTAAGTATTGTAGGGGAGGAAAAAATTTTCCTCTACCCTTCTAGGTTCTTCTGGTTGGTCTAAGAATTAAATTGACATGAGACAGATTAACAGGAGAAAAACAAACAAATTTTAATAAAATGTATACGTGGGAGAAACCCAGGAAAACTGAGTAACTCTCCAAAATGGCTGAAACCCTCATCTTAAATATTATCCTCAGCTAAAGGCAAAAAGGAGATGTTGGGGGTGGGGAGAGTCAGGGACTTCAAAGGAAAGGAGGCCAATTCACAGATAGGTGAAAAGGAGCAAATGTTTGGGAAACAGGAGTTTATTTGGCCACACAGAAACAGAACACAGAGGGGAGCCGAACAAACAGGTTTTTTCTAGGTTGCTCCTTGCCTACCACCTAGTTCATGTTATGCTACTGTAATAGCTCTTGTCCTGAGACAGGTGTTTTTATCTGAATTCTTTTAGGCAGTTAAGAGGGAGGTAAGAAGAAAAACTGTCTGAGTCTTTTGTTTCTTGAAAATAATCAGCCTAAAATAATCCTCATGTTAGAGAGACACATTTTGTTGCCCTTCAATACACTCTATGATGGTCCTACAAGGACGAAATGACCTAAGTACCCATTTCTCGGAGGTATCCCCATGATTAAGCAGCATGTGATGTACTTCTTCTGATTGTTGTTTTACTTTTCTATACCATTGACTTTTTTGTGAGTTCTTTGAGGGAAGAGATTGTCAACCTGTATCTTCAGGGCCTTGCATAGTTCTGGCACATGATGTTAGTCAATAGATGGTTGTTTAAGTAGTAAAAGTCGTAATAATAATGACATTATAACAGTAATAGCCAGTATTTATTGAATGCTCATTCTATGTAAGCACTTTACACATATTACCAGCTCTAGAAGGTTGGTACTTTTATTATTCCTATTTTCCAGATGAGGAAGCTGAGGTATAGGTTTACATAATTTGCCCAAGACTGCACAGTTACATATAGTTGGGCCTGGAAGTAAACCCCAGCAGTCTGAATCTAGATCCTGGATATATTCTTAACCACTATATGAATAAATGAGTGAATGAGTGAAATGAATGAACAAATGAATAATAACACCAAGTCTGATCCTTCAATATATGCCAGTCATTCTGAGGATGATGCTATCAGTAGTCTATAAAGTTCAAATGTCAGTTCTAATGTCACATTTTCCGCGAACCCTTCCTAGTAGCCTGATCGGAAGCATCTGTCACTTCTCTGACACCTTTTGTAATGGCACTGGCTACTCTCTACCATACATTCGAATTTATCTGCGTGTCTTTGTTTCCTCACTAATGATAAGTTTCTAGACAACTGCTTAAGTGTCTGATTCATCTTGGTGTTTTCTATTGCCCCAAACACAAAGCCTTGTACACAATACGCTACCAATGAGTGTTTACCAGATGGACAAATGGATACGTGGGTGACCAGCAAAGAGATCTTTGACTCTTCCTTTATCTTTCCCTGGAAACTATGGAGACTCTTTTCTGCCCACCTCTGAGATCCCAGAAAGTCTGTTGTCATAGAGATTTTAGATGGTTCTAGAAAAGAAAATTCTGTTTAAATATATCAAGTTCAGAGAAGAATCTGTGAAGAATTTACTTTGTAACATTTTGATAATCATTTCGTTAGAAAATTATATTTCTAAAAAAATTGATATTCTTCCTCCCAAAATTGCATTCATAGAAAGAAAGAAAGAAAGAAATTATATAGACTATCACTAATGTTTCTAACATACTTGACTAGAAGAAACTTTACTTATTTAAATGTTAACTATGGCCATCAAGAATTACCTTTCTAAATTTATACAATGTTATAAACCAATGTTACTGCAATAAACAAAAAATTAAAAAAAAAATAAAAAATAAAAAGTAAAAGAATTACCTTTCTAAAACCTCGAATTAAATGCATTTCCATTTCCACTGATTAATGTATCTCTAATCTTCATTAATAATTAACACTTAGAAGAATTCCATATTAATAAATTTGGATAAGAAATGACTAAATTATAGAGCACACATCCAGGAAGAAGTTGCAAATCTTTACTGAGTCCTCATTGTTTGTATACCATCATATAGTTTGTCCTGATATGTCGGAGATAGATAGGAAATAACGGAAATTTATTCAGCAGAATTTTTTTTATTGATTCTAGTGTATAAAATGAATTGCATTTGGTGTCAGGGAATACAAAGGAACATAAGACACGGTCTTTATCTTTGCAGAATTTGTGATCTAGAGATGGGTGTGTAGAAGACAGATACATTAACAAGTAACTAGACTGTGGGATTTGATGGTAATAATAGTTAATATTTAGCACTTAATGAACATTTCAGTAGCTGTCCTAGTGGGGGTTTTTTTGTTTTTTTTGTGTGTGTGAGGAAGATCAGCCCTGAGCTAACATCCGTGCCAATCCTCCTCATTTTTTTCCCCCTTTTTCTCCCCAAAGCCCCAGTAGATAGTTGTGTCATAGTTGCACATCCTTCTAGTTGCTGTATGTGGGACGCGGCCTCAGCATGGCCGGACAAGCAGTGCGTCGGTGCGCGCCCGGGATCCGAACCCGGGCTGCCAGCAGCGGAGCGCACGCACTTAACCGCTAAGCCACGGGGCCAGCCCCCTGTCCTAGTGTTTTATGTGGCATTATATTATTTAATCATTACAACAACTCTATGCAGGAGACATTATTATTATCTCACTTTATAGCTGATAAACCCGAAACTCAGGAAGGTTAGGCAACTTCTTCAAGATCACATGCCTAGTGAATGGGTGGGTGGAGGAGCCAGTATGCAGACCTAAGCCCAAAGATCCTTAAAGGTCATACTCAGAAGGCAGTCAAAATAAATAAGGTACACCAAAGAAAACACTCTTCATTCAAACTTGGGTCAAGCAGATGTTATGGCACATTGGCTTGGCCAGGAATGATAAGTGTGAATAGAGATGAAGAAGATCTTTGCTTCTAGGACTGAGGCAGGTAGAGGAAACTAAAAGAGCCCTTGAGAAAATAGAGAAGAGCCATGCGTTGTCATCTGTGTAGGTGGTAGCATGAGTGGAACAGGGGTGGTGAAACTGAGAAAAGTGGTTGGAACCAGATACTGTTGGCCTTGAGCGTTACCTCAAAAAGTCTAGACATTCCTCATTAGGCAGAGAGGAGTCACTGAACAGTTGTGAACCAGATCAGAGCTGTATTTTAAGATTGATTTGGCAGCTACACATATAAAAGGAATTGGAGTCAGGAGTGGGAAGGAGAGGAACAGTTAGGAAACCACAAAATAGGGACTGCAAATGGCACTGGTAGTCTGAATTTGGGTTTCAATAATATGAGGGGAGAGGAAGAAACAGGGAGGCAGGACAGGATTTGGCATGCACTAGATGTGAGGAATATTTAAGGAGAGAGATCACAACGTCAAAAGTTGAAAAAAGCAAATATGTCGTCTAGAGTGCAGAGGAAGTACACATCCTTGAGCAGTAGAAGGGAGTTACACTGAGAAACGAGAGGAGGGGAGTTAGATGGGAATGGTGTAACTGGTGGAGCCTCTCGGGAACACGTGGTTAAATGCATGGATTTGCTTGTGTAGCAAACTAGCACTTCTCCTGGTTCAGAGCAGGGCTTGGGCGCTGTGTTGACCTACTGCCGTGTGGTGATGCCCACGTTTCTCAGATACTTGAGTTGAGCATGGATACCTTTAATAAATTCAGATAAAAATTGTGGCATTTAAAGTCTACGATTTTTATTTCTTAGGAATTGAAATGACTGAAGTAACCATGAGTTACTTTTTATTAGTAAAACAAATTATTGCATAATTTGTTATAAATATATAATAATTTTGTAAAGGAAATGTAAATTTTAAATTGTACTCTAATGTGTACACTTTCTTCCTAGTTTAGCATACTAATATAAAACAATAGAAATGCATGATTTAACACTCTCTTTTCTACTGAGGTGTTGTTTTTTACTTTATTTTGATTTTTTATTAATCAAATTGAAAAAATCTGGTGTTTCTAGCTTTCATATGAGTTTTTCTTTGTCTTTTCCTATTTTTTTAATAGATGATAATAATGAAGAAGAAGATGTTGACGTGAAGGAAGATTCAGGTATTAAATTTATGATTTTATTCTTATAGCAGAGGCAGGGATCATTTTGTTGTTTGTGTACACTTCACATTTTTTCAAAGAAAGATAAAATATGGTTAATAAAATAGAAATGACAGTGCCGGCCTGGTGGCATAGTGGTTGAGTTCACACGCTCCGCTTCGGTGGCCCGGGGTTCGAGGGTTCGGATCCCGGGTGCAGACCTACACATTGCTCATCAAGCCACGATATGGTGGCATCCCACATACAAAATAGAGAAAGAGTGGCACAGATGTTAGCTCAGGGGCAATCTCCCTCACCAAACAAATAAATAAATAAAATAAAATAAAATAGAAATGTACGCTCAAGTTCATAAAATAAGGAAGTAGTTGTGCTAACTCTTATGGCTAATACAGTAACTATATTTAAGCATTAAACATGACTTTGAGCTTCCTGACAGCTAAGGTAAAAATGGAACATGACGTTGTAGTAATAGTTGTGTAACAAATCACCTCGAGAACTGAGAGGCTAAAACAGCCACTTGCTATGTTCATGTATTCTGTGGGTCAGGAATTCAGACAAAACACAGCCGGGGTGACTGGATCATCCTGCTCCACAGGTCTGAGGCCTCAGCAGGAAGACTCAACAGCTGGGGCCTGGAATCGTCTGAGGATTCGTTCGCTCACATGTCTGTCTGACGATTGATATCAGCTGTGAACTGAGACCTTAACTGGGGCAGTTTTCCAAAACACCTATACATGGCCTCTTTTTTTTTTTTTTTTTTTAAAGCCACAGAACTTTACTTCACATATTTATTTATTTTTTCCCCAAAACCCCAGCAGATAGTTGTATGTCATAGTTGCACATCCTTCTAGTTGCTGCATGTGGGATGCGGCCCCAGCATGACCGGAGAAGCAGTGCATTGGTGCGCGCCCGGGATGCGAACCCGGGCCGTCAGCAGCGGAGCGCACGCACCCAACCGCTAAGCCACGGGGCCGGCCCTACATGGCCTCTTTATGTGGCCTGGGCTTCCTCACAGCATGGCAGCCAGGTTCCAAAGTGGTTTCTCTAGAGAAAGTGAGTAAGCCAGAGGGAGCTGTACTCTTTTTAAGACTCAGTCTCAGGGTCCCATAGCATCACTTCCACCAAAGTCTTTTCTTTGGAACAGTCACTCACAAGCCCACCCAGGCTCAGGGGAAGAGAAAATAGACTCAGTCTCCTGATGGGGAGTGGCAAGGTTCTGCAGAGCATATAGGACCTGAAATATTGCTGTGGCCATCTTTGGAAAACACACCTTGTACATATGATATATTGCTCTCATTATTAGAAATTAAGATGCATGCCAACTCCTCAAGAAAGACCAATGTTTGAGGAGGGAAATCTAGTGGCTAAAAGCATAGACTCTGGACTAAGGCAGCCACTCAATATGTGCTTGATCATGAATGTATGAATCAGTAGGCCTGAATTCAATCCTAGCTCCACCACATGTTGACTTTGGGCAAGAGTCTTTTCTCTGTGAGCCTCAGTTTACACCTCTGGGGACAATAACTTACCATACAGTCTTGTTTGGGGGCCTAAATGAGATATCATACCTAAAATGTTTCTTGGACCATAGTAAACACAATAAATGATTGCTTTTTTCTCTCTCATTCTAACAGATACTGGAAAGGTATAGGACTTAATTCTATGGTATAAGAGCTCTGTGTCTCCATTTTGTCAATCACACTTCTAAGGAATGATATGGGGCCAGGTTTCAACACTGAAATAGATATGCTAGAGGTCCTAATTTTGTGTAATCTCCTCTTTGATGCCAGAACTCCCTACAAATCACTGACAACCTCAATCTGAGCATCTCCATTAACAGGAATCTTTAAGTTCTGAGGAAAACAATCTCGTTAAGCAAGGTTTGGTTAAAATTGTCCTTCTCCTTGTTAAGTTAAATCTGTCTCCCTCTCCTGACCACCGCTATCTTCATGGAGAAATAACGCAAGTTCCTTTTCTTCATAACAGTTCATTGGAACAATGATCATAGTTTCTATCTACTCTTCTCCAGTCTGCACATGTCTGATTCCTAAGGTTCCCTTGATCTCCCAGGGCAATGGATTCAGAGGGGATGAGAAGTAGAGGGAGGATCTAAAAGTTAGGAACAGGAATGAACGAGGTGGAAGAGGGACTGTGACAGCAGCTGTCAGTTCCCTACCTGTGTCCCCTTGGCACTCATTGTTGTTTTACAAGACCAACAGCTTTATAAGGAAAGTTCTTGTGACTCTCAGCTGAGTCCTTTTCACTGATCCTGAAAGCACACTCAGAGTACCAGGGAATTAATTTCTGTGGAGCAGCCTTCAATGAATGATGGACAAGAATTGATCAATACCCCTGCAGGACACATCTAAGGCACGTTCTATTCCAACACTGTCCAATAGAAATACAATGTGAGCCTCAAATGTGAGCCTCATGTATAATTTCAGATTTTCTAGTAGTCACATTGAAAAAAGGAAAAAGAAAAAATGAAATTAATTTAATAATATTTTAGGTCACATAATATATCTAAAATATTATGATTTAAACATATAATCAATATAAAAATTATATTAGTTGGATATTTTACATTCTTTTTTTTCCATGCTAAGTTTTTGAAATTTGTGTATATTTTACATTCACATCTCAGTTTAGGAATACATATCCTAGCCACATTTCAAGTACTCATTGGCAATATGTGGTATTGAACAGCAAGATTCTATATCATCACCCAGAGGTTCCCAGTAGAATTGAGTCCTGATTGTCCACAGGGGTACTTGGTCATTAACACCCAGTATTGTCTGCCTTCCTTTTCTCATTTCCCTACTCTCCTCTGGCTCTTCCTGGGATAATCTCTGAAATTAAGTGCTTGCACTCAAACCCTTGCCTCAGTGTCTGCTTCTGAGAGAATCTAGCCTAAGACAAGGACTCTGCTTGCCTTTTGTAAAGCATAAAGCCCAAGGTAAAATTTCAATTAAAATGTCAATATCTACACATACGTAGAATGTAGAATGTGTTTTTCTTTAAAAGAACCGTATGTTGAAAAAAGCCTTTAAGTGATCACCCTGTCTTGGATTAAATTCCATGAATTTAATGTTAATGTTTGCTGTTCTCATTTATCCTGCTCATGTGAAGTATCCTTGGAATATCCTTCAGCTGTGGGGAGTACTGCCCTTTCAACCAGCCAGTTTAAGGACTTTATCTTGCTAACGATTATTTGCCTAGCTGCCGTTAAGTACATATTTCTAGGCAAAGGGAGTTGACTTCTTAATGAGATGCAGCTAGCTATTCAAACTACTGAGTGATTTTAAGGAAATCATTATTAATGCTAATGCAGAGCCCACCAGGCTGGAGTCAGCATTTGAGGTTTGGGGGCATAAATTGGATCATCATTTCTGATTTTAGTCCCACCAGGTTTCCTGGGGGTTTTGTCTCCAGCAGCTGGACGCAGCTGTGAAAGTCACACTCAATGCCGCAAGAACGCTAAGTCATGCAGGCAGAATGGGCTTGGGGAGCTGCTCTCCATTTCCTAATCTCTGAGTGCTGAAATCATGGGGGACTTCTGTGCAGGATGGTTCCATGATGTGCCAGCTGGCCTTGCCAGACATTGGTGAGCAAGCTGGCTTCAGTTCAGATCTCACACTTGGGCATGTTGGTCTCCAAGATGAGTCTGAACCAGCCTCCCAAGACTGTTAACTCCTGCCTTCCCTCTGCCCTGCATCACCTCTTCTTCTCATGCAAGTAGAAATGCTGGAGGGATTTTTAAGAATGCAGTTGACACTAGTGAAGGACTACGTGAGCGAATCAACCGGCCAAGAAATGCTAGTGAATGATAGTGAATAATAATTTGAGGTGCTGGTAAACTGACTCTAGGGTGGGGGAAAACCCGATTTGAAGAATTTGAAGATTTCTTTGGTGTAAATACACCTACCATTGTATTGTTCAAGTTACCAAACACGAGGTCAAAGGATGCAGGAGTTGGGGAGAAATGGGTACAATCAGCTGGTGCGAGCTGGCTCAAGTCATCCCCAGCACACCTCTGCTGAGCCAGACTTTAACTGAGCTTGTATCTTGTGCCAATCAGTCAACATACATGAGCTCATTTAAGACATGTAACAACTCTAGGAGGCAGGGACTGTTATTATCTAAGACTTAAGAGGGAGTAAATAGCAGAGCCAGAATTTGCATCCAGGTTTGTCTGACCCCAAAGCTTATGTTCTTAACTCTTGAGCTCCTGTCTCTAGACTCTAATAGTAGTAGAAGCAGGAGCATCTCAATGATGTCAGACAAAGTCATCTTCAATGTTAGGCTCTGCCTCCATGGGAGGTGGTATAAAGAGGCTTAAATGTCTAGAATTCCTTTTAAGTCCTTTAATCAGTTTCTTTAATCCTAGTATAGTAAATGTTTCCTCATGTTCTTCCATTTCCAAGACCATGCAGTGCTGAAATGGGCCCAACCTGAGCCAGCAGGGACAGAAAATCAGTAGCCACCTATGGCAGTCTAGCCACATCAGAGCCAGGAGCACAACTGAGTTCCTTAGGAGGGAAAGCCATGCTCATGGCCAAGTTCCAGGTTTCCACCCTCTGCCAGAAACAGAAGCAACACAGATAATAAGATACACTGTCAATGAGAAGCATGGGGTACTTTTGAAGAATGTTCCTTTAGCTTCCCCAGGCCGAGAGAGGGAGTTGTTCCTGCTGAATCACAAGTAGAAACCTGGGCACAGAAGCCGTATGTATCAGTGACTTTCATTTGAGTGCCTCCAAAACACCTTACCCCATGGGTGTTATAAAATGATAAAATGATACTATACTTATGTCATAGATGACTGTTCATGATTAACATGTATCCATGCCTCCTGACTACCCAAAGAATGCCTACAACTTATTAAAAAATGAAGTACTAATATGTTTTGGGTGCTTAAATATCTCAAAATGTGGGCAAATAGATGTTTTTTAAATCTCACCCATTTCTCAAGAATTCCTATTCA